CTCTCTCTCTCTCTCTCTCTCTCTCTCTCTCTCTCTCTCTCTCTCTCTCTCTCTCTCTCTCCTCTCTCTCTCTCTCTCTCTCTCTCTCTCTCTCTCTCTCTCTCTCTCTCTCACACTCTGTCTTTCTTCCCTTCTCGTAAATACAAACAAGCAGCAAGCGCAATTCGCGTTACCTAAGAATCTATATAAAAGCAGAGTGCATCGCCGCGAGACTCGCGATAGACGAATACACGTGCATGCGTTACTCTACGGAGTTTACCAAGACTTAAGTTACGCACATGGATATAATACACTGTAAGAATAAAATATAGAAAATAAAAAATGTGATATAATTGATGTGATATATATTGATAAAGTGTAATAAAGTTCAAAAGATAACTAAAATTGAATAATCGAAAAATAAAATAAATGAAATGTCTTAAATATATTTGTTAATTGCATTGGCAATTAAGAAACAATATTGTGTTAATCAAACCGACAAACCAAGTTATACTTTTTCTATGAAGAATGAAAGAATTTGTATAACATATGAAAGAAACTTGTTTATTTTTCATTTGTGTGTATAAAATAAAAAATAATTTCATATTTATTTTATTTGAGTAATTCATATAAATTATAAAGATAAGTTTGTCGTAGACGTTCATCGTGAGAAATTAAAGCACTTAATTTCAAGTATCATTCTCAATTAAAGATTAAAGTTTCACTCCGATCTTTTAAAATGTAAGATTTATTTAAGCGTACAAATATATATATTTCAACGCGTCTACTTCATAGAGAATCGTACATTTCATCATAGATTTTTTTTTATCGACATAAAACTCTTGAAGGAGTCGATCCGTCATCGTCAGACGAAAGAACAGCTATGTTTCATACTCGTGATCCACGTCGAAAATAATAATTAGCTTCCGCGCGTGCTGCGTAAGACGTCAATGCGTGCGATACTTTTACATATCCCCCCCTCTCATTCTTGTTTCGCAGTCCTCCTCCTCCTCCTCCTGCTCCTCCTCCCCCCCGCCATCTTCTCTCTATCTCTTTCTCATCCACCGACGAGTACGCGTTTTTTTGGTCCAACGACGCCTGTGCCGCGGTACGAATCGCGAGATCCGCGAGGGAAACGTGCGCGACGCCGTTGCGGGTGCGTATGTGTGCATCCGTGTGCGTACGTGCGTATCGGTGTGCGCGCGCGTCCTCCTACGTAACGCGGCGTGTGTGTGCGTGCGCGCGGGCGCGCACGCGCGCGTCGCGACGGCGACTTTGTGTGGGAGAGCGCGCGCGTGCGTCTGTACGCGACGGTGCGCGCGTGAGCGTTTCACACCTGACTACAACGCGAGTCATACGAGGGACCGTACAAACGTCGAAAGACGATTGCGAGAGCGCGGAAAAGCGCGAGTGACGCCGAAAATCGTGTCGGCAAACGCACGGATTTATCGCGCGGCGCTCACGGCGCTCAGCCGCGCAGAATCGATTTATTTTGTCGGCACGGTCTGCGCGGCGAACACGGTAGGTTAGTTGACCGCGGGGCCGAGCGAGCGCTGAGCTGACAGTAGGCCGGCGACGTCACAGTGGGCCGGTTCGAGCCTTCCTTCGTTCGATTCAGGCAGGCTCCTCTATTCGTTTTACATGTAGCAAGGTAAATATTTAAACGCGGTGTTTTGCGATTTTACGAGAAAACGTGGCCCAGTGCGCGAATAATTATTTTTCATCGTCGATACCGTCGTCATCGTTGCTGTCATCGTTATCGTCGACGTTATCGTCATCGTCGTGCCGTCGTCACGGGGGCGGACGACAACCGTTTTAACATCCTGACGATTTTGGTGACGCGTGCGATTTCATCGTTCGATGAATCAAACGGAGAAAGAAAAGAGAGAGAAAAAGAGAAAGGGAAAGATAATACGTGTATGTCTATCGCTTTCGAAGAGGGTGCGAGCAACATTTTCATCTTTCGTCGCCCGTTCGTCATGTGTCGACGTCTACGTTACATTTGCCGTGTTTGTTAATCACCGCTGTCACTGACGTTCCATCGCATTCGACCGCTATCACCGCTGCCTGACACGAATTTGACAGATAGAAAAGGTAGACAGACGGAGAAAAGAAAAGGAGCGAAAAGATCGAGCTATGAGAGGAGAGCGGAGAGATCACGGAAAGAACGAGGGAAAAATTGCGCGAGCTCGCGTCACGCGAAAAACCGCGTCGCAAAACGTGCTCCAAGTTTCGTGCTCGGCGTACTTCTTCCGGGTTTCCCGTACGATATCTCGATTCGTGATTCACGCGATTCAGATTGATGATCCATCTGATCGATTCCGCGCGCGCTGTTCGACGGAGCTGTCACGACGCGCGAAGTGACGAGGGACTCTCCTCTGTCTCTTCCTCGTGTCTCTACGGAGCGCGCGTCGCACCGTTTGGACAACAGTGGAGAGACACGTGAAAACACGCGCTCTGACAGCTCGCGCTACGGCGCGTGCACGTCACGTTCGTGAGAGGTCCGCTCGCGCGTTTTTCCAACTGCCGTGATTATAAAATTGGCA